GCCTCTGAGGCCAGCAGAGATAGCGCCCTTAGCGCATCTGACGGGGGGCGCAGAGAGGTCGTCCGGGCTGCCCAGCACAGCAGACAGAGCAGAGCGGCGGCCGGCCGACCCCCCTGGGGCTGTCTTCCTTTTGCAGCCCTGCCTCCTCTCCCCCTGCTGTGGTCCCCGGGGTCGACCCTGGCAGTGACAAATCCCTCGGCTCGCAGACTCTGGGTGGCTGGTTCCGAGCCGTGCTCTGCAGAGCCTCTTCCCACACCCCCTAAACAAGCATGAGGGTGTGCAGAGGTGGGTGGTGGGTCCTGCAGGGGGTGATCTGGCCGCTGGCCGGCCCTGCCTCCTGCAGTCTGGGCTGGAGCCCAGGAGTAGAGCCCCAGGCCGTCGAGGACTGCTTGCTCCCTGCCCCCCACTGTACATGTTGAGGGGACCAGCCCAAAGCCATGCAGCAGGGCCAGCAGGAGCGGGCTCCCTCAGGCAGGGAGCGGCAGGGAGATGCTTTGCATGCCCCTTGTTTGCTAAACAAAACCGCAGCTACACAGGATTTCAGCCAGGAGGGGAGTCCTCGGGGTCGGGGCGGACAATAGGCCTTTCTTCATCTGCTGAGGTTGGGGAGATCCAGATTTTGCTTGCCGGCCACTCCCCTGGGGGTCACAGGGACCTCTGAGCAGGGGGGGCGGGAGCCCTGGATGTACATAGCAGGGAAAGGGGTCATGTATGTGGGGTGACTCCTGTTTCCCAGAGAGAAAACTCTGCAGCCACCGAGGGGCCTGGCTTGGGCTCACCACCCGAAGGCAGAAGATTGGGGTGCCAGGTGCCTGAGCTCGCCCAGAGCTGAGAGCAGCCCACGGGCCCTGACCCCTGGCCCTCACCAGGGCTGTGGCGGGGGGAGGCAGCAGGCCGCGGGGTTCCTAGAGAAGGTTCCCTGAAGTGGCACAGAGCACCCCATCAACACTGTCTCCTTCAGGCTGCGGGCGGTACCTGTTATGTGGTGGGTGTGGGGAACCCCCAGGGTTGTCACAGGAGGGAGTTCAGTTTGTGAGAGTCCCTCAGGGGGAGGGGGTTGGGGGAACAGGACCTGGCTGCCTTGGCCACAGGGCCCCGAGGCCGGGAGAGGCCACGGTGGCTCCAGCCCCCGCCTCTGGCAGCCACGTCACACAGGAGCCTGGCTGGGGCCTTCCACTGGGGCCGCGGGTCAGTTGCCCAGGCCAGGGGGCTCCATGGTGCAGGTGGTGACCTGCGAGGCTGCCCGAGAGGTAGGGGCGTGGGCTGCGTCACGCCCCAGAGCAGCCAGCCCGCCAGCTGGGGTCCAGGCCCTGAGGGACAAACTGGGAGGGACAAACTTGCTGCCATGGAAATCATTGATAAGGATGAAAATGTGCCCGGGCCAGCCCAGACACTGGCATGGGCGCTGCTTGGCCCCAGCCTGCCCCCACCAGCCCTGCCCAGAGTGGGAGTGGATGGGCCCAGGCAAGGAGGCCGGCCAGACCCTGGGGTGGGGGGCAGAGGGCCTGTCCTGAAAGCTCCCTGGAGGGGAACCAAGGGCCCGCCCCTCCTCCAGCCCCAGCCCCTGACCCCCCCCCCCACATCGCCCTGCTGAGCCCCTGCTCTGTTCAGGCAAGTGCTACTCCAGGGAGGACGGGGCGTCCACTGGCCAGACATGGACCAAGCTGGACTGGCCGCGTGATGTGGAGTGGAGCCTGCCGGGCAGCAGGAGAGATCTGGAGAGTCTTTGCAAGGCGCCAAGTCACCGGGGACAGCTTTGGGGAGCCGGGGAGGGGGACTGCAGTCAGGGGGGTGCGCTGTGGACAGACAGACCCAGGGTGTGTGCCTGCAGGTGCGACAACGCCAGTGGCCAGAGCCCCATGCCAGCTGGCCCAAGGGCTGGGGAGCGGCTCCGGGGTGGGCAGACGGACACACGGGACGGCCGCTGGACTCCTGTGTGGCAGCCAAGTCTCCCTGTTACCCCCAAGGGCCTCGGGGCCTCCTTGCCACGTCTCACCCTCCCCTCAAAGCTGGCTCCACGCCAGCAGCCCTGCGCTGGTTCCCGGGCTGTGCCCAGGGAGCAGTCGTGGGTGGGCACGCAGACGGGCTCCAGAGCCCACATAGAGGATGACCCGAAACGCCCCGGGGGGGCTGGCTGAGTGCCGGGTCGGGAGCTCCCTGCGGGGGCCAGCCCGGACGGCCGGGCTGATGGGGACACGCTCCGGGCCTGGCACCCCGGGGCCGCCCAGGAAGCAAATCTGAAGACTAGGTCCCTGCCCGGGGACCCAGAGGGCACTTCACGGGGTTCTCTGTGCCTACCCCACCTGTGTGTGGCAGGAGCCGCTGGGGGAGCGCGGGGCGGGGGGGCACGGAGCCACAGCAAGCTGGGGGCATCTCCACGCAAGCGCAGCTTGGAAACGGCCACGGCGGCCGTCCTGTCCACGCAGGGAGGGCTGGGGGCAGTGCCCGGGCTGTCCCGTGCCCACCAGCCCGGGGAGCTGCAGTGCTGGCCTCGCCTTCCTGCGCCGTGTTAACTCTGCAGCGGGCACGTGAGAACTCATCACTGGCGCAAACACGCGCCCTCCCCCACCCTCCCCAACACCTCGCCCTGCTGGAGGCCAGTCCCACCCTCCCTCAGGCTCCCTCCCCCTGGCTGACCGGCCCCCCCGCCTGGGAACCCCCTTCCGGCGGCATCTGGGTCCAGTCTCTTGGGTCCTAGCACGCAGCCTGGGGCCAGCTGAGAGCAGTCCCCGGGGGGCTGACTCCTCCTCCTCGGCATCGGGGTGAAAGCCCCCCGCTTCAGTGAGTGGACACTGGACACCCCCCGGAAGACCTTCTGACCACCGGTGCCCTTCCCCTCCTGGGGCCCAGCGGCGGTGGGGGCGCCCAGGGGAGCCCGGCAGGGCCTGGGGCTCCGTGGCGGGAAGGTGGGCAGCTGCAGGAAGACAGGAGGGAAATCTGAGGCAGGGCATGGGCCGAGCGGGCCGTGCTCAGGTTTGGCTGATAAGTTTATCAAAGGGCGCCGGCTGCCAACTGCCGGGCGGCCGCGCGGCACAGGACAGCCCTGGCGATAGGCTTCCCGGGTTATCAGCGGCTGATGCCGAGAGCAGGAGAAGGGGAGCAGGAGCCAAGAGAAATCCAACCTCTTCACCCAAAGACAAGAGCCAGGGAGGACCGAGGCCCGGGGGCCCTCCCAGCCAGTCAGAGGCGCAGCTGGCCACAGCGTCCCTCCCCGGCAGACGAGGCCCTGCCTCACCGCCCCTTCCCTGTCCCTTCCAGGCCTGGAAGGGATGGAGACTCCCCAGTTCTTCGGCAAGACCTAAAGAAAAAAACCCCTTTCTGGAAGGTTCCCCGAGGGCCGTGGAGGACACACCGCCCGCCATCCAGTCCCACCGTGCCCTTCTCCGTCCAGCGCTGGGGCGCAGGCTGGGAGGCCGCATCAGCTCCAAGCCCCCCGGGGGCCCCGCCTCCGCCTCCCACGACGTCCAGCCTGGCTCCAACGGGGCCCGGCCTGGAGTCGGGGTCACACCCCATCCCTGCTGCACAGATGAGGAAACTGAGTCCCGGAGGGAGAGTGGGCCGGGGCAGGCGGGGGAGAGCCTCTCACGGCCACGCCCCGAGTTGTAGGCCCTGCCAGAAGCTGCTGCAGAGGCCGCGCACCTGCCCCAGGCCCGCGGGGCACCACACGGGCTTCTGGGCTTCTCCCGGTTTTCCTCAGTCCTTTA